ATATACATATATATATATATATATATATGTATATATATATATAGGAACTTATTTGCCGCAATGTTTTTGTTGTGGGTATCCTCGCACTTGGTTCACCTTGATAAGTCAAAATAAAATATCAAAAATAATTCCTTGTTCACACCCCTTATCTCACCAGATTTTTCGTAAACGTTGCCATTCACGCTTGCTTACTAAGATTAATGGGGTATCCTCGCACTTGGTTCACCTTGATAAGTCACATAAAAATATCAAAAATAATTCCTTGTTCACACCCCTTATCTCACCAGATTTTTCGTAAACGTTGCCATTCACGCTTGCTTACTCCTGTAAGATTAATGGAAGAATTGGATGAATCATTCTACTCAATAGACGCAGTTCCACCCTTTTTAAGGTGAACATTAACTATCTTTTCACTGTCTTCAACACGTTGTTATACATTTTTTCTGGAGTCCCTTGTCTCAAAGAGAAGTAAACTTTGTCAGAACTAAAAGTATCAACATCGTAGTGCTCACAGTGAGCTCAGGAAAACCTCATTTGACATCTTCATTGAGGAAACTACTAACACAGTTGGTGACAACTCTTCGGCAGCCCACGACCAGTTTCGCCCTTCTTGGGACTTACCAGATGGGCGCAGACCCGAAGTTCCCGTCAATCTTATGATCTACTTGAGCCCAAATTGGACTGTTTTCCAGAAATACACTCATTTGCAAATCAATTTCAGCGACCTTGTGAATGGTTTCCTTTATCAAAATATACTACGATATCACGAATATCGTGCCGACTGAAACATGAGGCGGCCTGTGTGCAGCACATTAAGTTGTAAAATATCTTAAACGAGATATTCAGTTGAGTCTCTCGTGAAAACCAAACTGATTTTCAAATGAGTGTGCTTCTCATTTGACAGAGCTCTATTTAAATAGGTTACAGAGAAAGGCCAGTGAAATCGTCCTAAACAAAGCATATTTCTAAAGATGAAAATACCACAAACTTAGTGGTGTGGATTCATTTGTGAGGGTGAAAGCTAAAGAACATGGTAGGAAGAGCCATGATCAAATAAGGCGGTAGGTTTCCGAGAAAGGTTACTAAATTCGAAATTTCAAGAGCAAGGAAAAAAGTGTGGGACAGCTCTGTGTTGAGCCTGTCCACTGGCACCCTGTGCTTCATCTCAGCTGCTCGAGCAACGACGTCCTATTCTAGTTTTCCTAGCTGATTTGAGCACTCTGTCACCCGTGTTATGCACCATTGCATCTGTGGCTAAGGCGAATCTAGAGCAGTGGAACTGACAAAGAATATTCGTACATCTAGCTGACAGATTGTTTAAATTGACCCAGAAACAACCACAAGCTAAACAACATTCTACATGTGCTTCAGATTCACCTGGTTTACTTCATACCATGGAAACAGGCTATCAGCACAACAAATGTGTAATCTAAATGGGGCATATTTATTTATTTGTTTATCTATTCATTCATTTATTTATTAAGTAAAGTTGAAATTTTGCAGATGTTTCTCGTATTGGTCTGCATTAACTGTATTGTTTATCCTGTTTCGCACGTGCTGAAGGATTATTGTAGACGACACTTCCTCTGAGAGCCTAAAAAGTTGCTTCTTTGCGCATTGATCATTTTGATGATCACTACAGACATACTGCTTGTAATTTAATCTTTATCTATTAAAATTTATCTATTAAACTTTATCTATTAAACGATAGTTCTCATCTCTTCTACTTTCAGGTGGTGCATTGGCTCAGAGTCTAGCGATCATGACAGATGCAGCCCATCTTTTAACAGACTTCGCAAGTTTCTTGATCAGCCTACTTGCTTTGTTCCTTGCCCAGAGACCCTCCACGAAAAAGATGAGCTTTGGATGGCATCGAGCAGGTCTGTACAATTTATACCACCATATCTTCTCCACAACTCTTCTGTTGACCTGGTCTAAAGATAAGAGACTAGTCGGTCAACGTGGTCAAGACAAACTACTTTTGGTGAACTAATTGTTAGTTACCTGTTTGTTAGAATTATATGGCCGGTGAAGGAATGACCTCGAATTCATCTCATTTACTGTCTTGAGCATTTGCCCCTTTCGCAGTGAAATAATCGCTTTAGTGCTAAATAAACCTGTCGCACCTAACAAAGGGTTTGAAAAGTATTCCTCCTGTAAATCACAATCTGATGTTTGGCTAGCATCTTACAAATCAAGTCCGAGCCACCGCAAACCACAAAGAAGTTGAAAAAAATCGCGAACTCCGCGCGCATATTGTGAAAGTGGACTATATTATGCTTAGCTGATCAACTACTTTAAAAAATAACCGAAATCTGTTCGACTGCCCACCATCAGTTTATCCTTTTTGTAGCTCAGCAGCTCAGTGTATCAGCTGAGTTTTGATCAATTTTATTTCCTGCCTGAACATAAAAGTTTGATTAAGAACATCGGCTGATGTATACCAAGGTCACCCGTTTGTTAGCGTGACGGGTATGACACGCATTCAGCTGTAGATCGACAAAAGCCTTAAAGTGAGAGATTTTTATTTCACTGGAACAAAAATGAAATAGGATCCTTAGTACAATCATTTGACCTTTTCTAGCTAGACAATGACTTCGCACTACATTGTATGCTCATAATTGTATCTTTTGTCCCCAAAATCCTCACTACTCCATAATGACGTGTTTTTCACAATCTGTTTCCCTCATCACTTTTAGAGGTGGTCGGGGCTTTGGCCTCCGTGCTGATGATCTGGTTGGTCACTGGCATACTGGTCTACCTCGCTGTGATGCGGATAATGAACAACCATTATGATATAGATGGGAAAATTATGCTTATCACCTCTGCTGTTGGAGTTGGAGTGAATATCATGTGAGTCCGAAGTCAAGTGTGTAGAGAGAATGATGTCAAATTATCATTCCACTCTGGCCTACCCTACTCTATATTGTTTGGTTTATAATGAAATTAGTCATAATTGTTGCGGTGGCCTTCGATCTATTATATAAGGACCTGTCGTTCATATGTGCCACGCAAATAATACAACCACACCGAATTTTTAACCGACCAACCACATACAGCCTATGCGATTGGTCATTTCCAGCCCCCGACCTGGGTTGTCCGACCTGCCACACAGCATTGGAAAAGGACCACACACAAGCTACTCGAACAACCAAATCTCCATTTTGCGAAATTTGCCGTCTGCACGTTACCGTCAGCTTAGTGTATCAGCTCTTATCCTCCCTCAACCATCCTGTTCGTCAAAGGGACAACTTTCATCTCCATTCCCCGGCTGATTTTCCAACCGGTGTTCACGTTTGAAAGATGGGGTTTGGATCTCTCCTTTCTGCTAATCTGTCGATTCTCCTCCATACCTGCATACTAGATCTTCAATTTATGGGGCTCAATTTATATCTAACACAGTCAAACGCACGCAGCCTATCTTTTCGATCCTTCATTAGCAGTGACATATTTAAAATACTCTATCTCCTGAATGCCACATTCTAAGCTTCCCTACTGTCTGCCTTGACTGTTTAGGTGTTCATTGTCAGCACACAACATCGACTGCCTCATTCGCTTGATGCATCCCGAATCATTTTACAAAACGTTTTTCATGGTTACCAATAGCCTGTCTCAAAGTGTTAATCGTCCGAAATAAATAACGCGCGGCGGAATCAAGTATCCAGATCTTTTTTGACTTTCACTATTTAGGTGTTTCGCATTTACGCATGCGCGGAGATGCCTCATTGTCCCCCCATATATTTGCACTGCATATACAATCAAACTGACGTGTACTGTTTGATTTGGCCGTGAGAGGCGCTTACGATGCCGATACACATATGGTCCTTTCAAAAAATCCTGTATTCAATCAACTCTTATGGGAGAAGAATGATTGGCCAAATTACACCGGCTTTTGTAGAATCCGTAAAGCTATTGTCGAAGAGTCTTCATATGAGTAGTCTCCACTAAATTATTTGCCTCTTTTTGTTTGGTGTATTTCACCACAAATATCAACGGGCCACCGCTTTCAAGCAAATCATATGTTGGTGAGCCTACACCATGTCACACAATCTTCTGCTGCAATTTAACTAAGTCTATGGAGCTCGGTTTTCGAAAATACTTGCCTTTGTCGGATATGTGCAGAGCTCTTTGGATTCAATTCCTACCCTGTCTACGCTGGTTCCCTATGTACGTCCCTAAATGAAGGGCCGTAATATCATTCACTGAAATGATTTCGGACTTGAAGTTACGGACGTTACAAAGCACGCGGCGGAAATTCTTTTCCACTCTGTTCTTCGGACATACCACGAAATTGATATCCCCTCTCTATACACGCATTTGAAAGTTCTAGACTCATTAGCATTACATGTGCTCCCGATGCTGGTTTTTCTGCTTCTACTTGATCTTAAAAAAAAACTAGACTCCAGACGGCGTCCACCAACATGAATTAGTCGCAAATTTTGTGCCAATGGTCCGTCGGCGTACGTTGCTTATGTGTATTCGGCTACTCAGACGTCTTTTACGAAACAGAATTGACTTTCCTAGATGTCTCAAAAGCTTTCGGTTGAGCGGAGCGTCCCTCTCACATGCGGCCCGTTACCGCTGGTGGCCAGTTGGACTGGTCAGTCTATGAACAGGCGGTCTGTAGAAGCTCAAATCGATAATAATTTAAGGCACACTCAGCGTCAGAGCTAGTGTTGTTAGGTTCCGATTTGTTTACCATACGCGTTATGCCTTTATCCCTTTCTGCATTCATACATATTTAGACGAGGCTATCCTCCATTAGTACATTTATTTACACACATTCAGGGACCTGTCTGAGGAGTTGCTGTCGATCTGGCGACCAAGTACAGGCTTCCAACACATCAGTAGTCGACGTTTTGAGTATGTTTGGTTGGGATTGGTCGAATGTGGCAAAACTCATTCCTTTCGTTTGTCTACACGTTTCTCTGTCCCTCTACTTTACCAAGACCAACATCGCTTTCTCCACCGCCTCTAATGTCACCTCTGGATTAATTAATTAGTTTATTCGCGGTCTGACATTTTCAAACCCTCTTTTTCTCACGTCAACCTAGGTGGCACAATAGCCTCAAATGAAATAGGACTTCTGAACTCTTGTGTGATCAAGGATGAGGTGCCTAGGATTCTAGTGTCCGCGGTAGGTTGGCAACACACTAACTTCCGTCCAACTTCTAGCCGTCGCTGCCCTCTGCATGGCCCACTCACTTTCGTCCAGCAAATCAAGCGAAAATCCTGCACTGTAGTATAAAATCCTGTTCTCATTTTTCCTTAGGATCTTGGAATACCGTGAAACTTTAGGTGTTCCACAGCTTGCTATACTCTCCAAATCATGAAGATTTAAGGTACTGCTAACCTGTACAATCCTACATAAGTCAGCAATGTGACCATTATTGTTCTGGTTTCCTTTTAGCTCGCGTGCTCATGGTGGATTTTAGGATAAATAAGACTGACTCCCCTTGTAATTCTCTAGTCTAGCGGTGAAGAAATTCGAGTCAAGTCACAAACCAGGCGCTAGCTAAGATTAAGTCCGCAAGTTACCAGATTTAGAAATTTGGCAGAGGTGTCAGTCATCTTCCTTCTCGACTTTTCTCTCCAGATGAAATATACTTTAGCCGTATTGGTAGTGTCAGAATGCGCGCACTGACTATGTCCACTCTTTTGGCGCCGGAATTTTGGCAGGTTAATTTCCACCTCTTCAAATGGCAAATTTGTTATCGGAGTACTTGCCAAACTATATAGAGTGATCTGCTAGATTATATATATGGTCGTGCATAGATAAATCCAAATTTGTGGAAGCACGCCTATTGACATACAAAATTCTTACTGATATGGAGCCTTATTGGCCAGGATTGTAGTGGACTATGACCTTATCAGCGTGTTCGGACAAATGAACAAGCAAAGTAACCCGTACGAAATCACAAAATCACAACAAGAATAGCAGTCGCCAGGGGCTCACGAATGCGTAGATCCAACAGTCCACTACACCGATTCCAATGAGGTGACCGGCTGTGAAGGAAATATCCACTTGTAGAAATTTTCCACCGATGATTCACGTGTGAGTGGCATATTCCACGATGGAAAAATTATTCGCAGCTAAAAAATGTCACGGGGCAGTTAATGTGAATTTCAATAATTCACACCAAAATATAGATCTAGTCCCACTGGTTCAGTGGTCAGCAAACGGTTCAACGGAGCGTAAATTCAATGATTCAGCAAGAAGTCAGCAAGCCGCGACAAAAATTGTGTATTGGTAACATTAGGACAAACGTCATGATAAAATATATACGACATTTACAAAATGTAGTTTAATTTCAGGGAAAATGGTAAATATGTGACAACGGATTACAGACGCAGCAGAATCATTATCCGTTTGTAGCTTTCCATAATAATGTGATATGTTGTGTAGATTTTGAGAGTAACGTAAGGAAATTGTTTTCTTTGATCGCATTAAAAGCGAGGAGGATATAAGTGAGCCTCAGATATCACTAGTAAGCAATCATCCTGATGTTATGGATCCTGGTGTACTCCAGACTGACGAACCTGGAAAGCACTTTTAGAGGTCCGGCCTTTCGATTCGTTTTAGGTCTTAAATTGATGATAATCTACTTTGTTCTGACGCACATGAAATTTAAAATAACTTATTTTGACTTTCATGAGCCATATTGAAGGACAGATCTCACATCTGCCAGTTTCAAAAATCCATTTTGTCTCCACCCCCACCCTTAAAACAGTATGCTCCTGACCCTTCATGACCACGGTCATGGGCACAGCCATGCTGCTCCGAAAGAAACCTCACCGCTGACTGCACTTAGTCACAATCATGAAAGCGTTCATGCAAACGGAACCAAGTTAGACCATGAAAAGCACAGTCATCAACATGGGCATGGTGGTGAGCATGTGCATCAAGTCAGTCCAAAATTGGAGCAAGAAAGCAAACGCCAGAATATCACTGTCCGTGCAGCTCTCATTCATGTCATCGGGGACCTGGTGCAAAGCGTGGGGGTCATGATTGCTGCCATGATCATCTACTTTCGCGTAAGTCTGTTATGACATTTCAGAGAGGTCATATATGTCTTCATTTTTTCCTCTACCCTGTCTTGTCTGCACGTACTTACACCAGAACCGCAAAGGAGCGAACAAAATGGTGGTCTTTTGGACCGTAATAATATGATAGGCAGAAAAAGAAAGGCATTTGCATTTGTCTAAAGCATACAATGGTCTATTCAAACCAATGAAGGATAAAAAATTAACGTCAGCGTGTGGGACGAGACACGCAAGTCACTCCATTCTCATCGTCATCGTCATCAACAACAACAAACGGGTTACCAGTGTTTTCGCCCAACTGTCGTGAGGAGGAATGCCCCAGTGAATAATGGAGAGGCGAATTGGCGAAAACGCTCATCATTCCGCAGAAAAGACGGTAAAAACTACGTACTTACAGTTTAGATCATCCACAAAATAAGCGTACCTGAGCAATATTGCTAAGTAAGATGTCATTAATGTGGCTAAACTTGCGTCGTCAAAGTCACGTGTCATGTTCCCCAGGGCTTGTAGTCACCTTTAAAGAGGAGTGACTCGGCTCCGACCAAGGTGGCGAAAAGATGCCACAGCGTTTCAAAGTCACAACCTATCCACCACAAGCTTTTCAGCTACGAGAATTCGGAATAGAAACAGTGCCTACTTTAATAGCCGTCGGTTGGGTATGCATACGATCAACCGACCCTGTCACCTTAAACTCATGAGTTTTACTTTCGGTGTTAGTGTCCCTAAATAATCACTAAGTTTTTCATTGGGCCCACATTGCAGAGCTTTCAGCTTTAAATTTAGTGATTCTTATCTTTCTCCAGCTAAGATACATATCTTTTGGCTCCCGTAACATTAAAATGGGTAGATTCTGGTAAGTTTCCTTCAGACATTTCCCCTCGTACTAAACTGAGGGTGTGTTTCTTGGGTTTGTGGGAGAAACTCACTGGAACTCTATGCCGGACGGGGCAAGATCTGGATTGAAACTGTTTTTCAAGATGATCGGTATTCGATTACTGGGCCTGTTCACTATTAGTCAATGTTTGCATGATCACTTGAGCTCAACATTTACTCAGCAGCAGAATAGCAGGTAGTGTCCGCTGTGCCTGCACACAGTACTGATGAGTACCGAATTGTGGTGGGTGATCCAAACCAAACATGTCACTAAGTCATGTCTCAGATAAACTAAGGCGCCCTAAATTGAATGGGACTACATCTGAACTTTTTGATTGGATGAGATGGTTAATACTTCTCTACGAACTTTCTTCTATCGTCCATGCACAAACAGAAACCATAATCAGGGAGTGGTTGTTGTTTTGGTCGGTGTAGATCCTTATTGAAAGGGACAGGCGGACAACACAGGGGCAACGTTTACAAGTGTGACGACCGATACTAGTGATGAGACATGCAACTAGTATGTGGTTTTCTTGTAAATACGCTTCACGTCCAATGGAAGGTCGGAATTTGTGGGGCTGCTCAGCAGCATTCGTTTACAACAGCATGATAGTGAATGAATATTCAGGAAAATCCAACTGGACGCTTTCAAGAAGACAGATTCAGTTTTGGAAAACAAGGTGAAAATGAGGTTTACTTTCATGTCCGATAGTTTGTAACGGTTTTATTTGGTGTTCTCTAACAAACAGCAAAGAAGGGCGGTGAGCTTTTCTCCTTTCACAGGTAGTCATTCATGCTGAAGAATTGAAAACTACATCAATTACCACATTACTAGTTGCAGCAGTTGAACTGTTACCTGAATTTCTCATCGGTGGCATCTGAAAAGGGGGACAGTCTACACTTAACACATCATTTGTAACATAGTGGTCTCCCGATCGAATTAAACAGGTAATTCAGAAAAACAATATTTGAGGAACAGTCCATTTTAAGCGCCGTCAGCCACTGCACAGAAAATATCTAAACCGGCTTTAGGTAAGGTATGCGTAATTTTTTTCAAAATCGTTCACGTGAGTTTGAACCAACATAATCAACCAGTGAAATCAAAGCAATTTCAGAGAAGCTCTTGAATCTTCTAGGGTACACTATGCAGACTCAAAATGGTTAATTAATACTGCCTCAAAGGATTTCATTGTGCGTGACCGTATACTTCAGGAAGTTGACTGGAGCTATCCGTACTGTCCATCACCATGCCCCGGGTCAGTTAGGTGCTGGGTGTCAGTGGTGTGTAATGTATTGTACCTTGCTTTTGACAGGTCCTACAATTAATCATAAATTGTCCAGTAGGTTTCAGCATTCGGTGGTTCTGCCTAACTGCTAAACCCTGACAGGCGGGGCAGTCATTCTTCATAACCAGATCGGTTACTGAACCGTCCTTCTATTCGCTGACTGAACCAGTTACCTCACTCAAGCATGACCAAGCTGGCATATTCGGATGTGGTAATCCAAAAGCGTTCAGCGTCTTGATTGTCACATTTACCGTGATTCGATTCCCCGCTCAATCACGCATAATATTTTATTAACATTCCGTAATAAGTTTAAAGATCGCGCCCAAAATTTTCATTTCATTGCTGGAGGAGTGTAGTGTTCTTCCCTGATAGAGTATACAATTGTCGGAATAGGGACTTCCAATACATATATGAGCACTCATGATAAATAGTTTCCATTTTCTTCCGGATTTTGGGTTAGTTAGCTAGTATCGCAAAATGGATACACATTCGGTGGTGTCTTCCCTACCGTTCTTATCATGGAACCTAACAAAGGAATCTGAAGTAAAGTATATGCCAGACATACAAACCTCACCCGGAGGTTACCAAGGGACCGGGTCATGTTACGAGAGACCTATCCAAGAGTCTTGGTGTATCTGCTATTTCGTATCTGTTTTACACGCTTTGCGGTTCACAATTTACTTTCAAAAATTCTGAGAATGAGAAATTATCAGTTTCTGTCTCAGCGACTGGTAAGTAACGTAATCGTTATGTTTCTGTTCTTTTCCCTTCCTGTCTAGCCTAAACTCAAAGTGGTCGATCCGATTTGCACTTTCTTATTCTCAATCCTCGTTTTAATCACCACAATCAACGTGCTCCGAGATGCACTAAGTGTTCTAATGGAAGCCACACCGCGTGGTTTGGACTTCAACGACGTGAAGAACGCTCTTAACGATGTGCCCGGTGTGGTGGAATTGCACAACTTGCGGATGTGGAGTTTGACAATGAATAAAACAGCTGTTTCGGTGCACTTGGCTGTTGGTAGGTCACCGTGTTTTCGCAATCTTACAGGAAATGAATGCCAATGACTACCTCAACGTATGGATGAATCTAGTTTGTATAGGCACCTTATAGGACATTTAGAAGTGCTGGTTTGAGCAAAACTTCGTTCAAGTAGTTGATCACGTGCAACCTGAATTTAGCGAACGGCCGATTGAAGATCACGACAACGAAACCCGTAGTATTGATTATTTTGTTTACGCGAGTTGGTGAATAGGAAGAGAGTGGGACAGCATTTAGCCAAGATAGCTATTCCACGAATAATTGTTCGTTGTTTTTTTTCATTTTGCAGCTGAACTCGGATTCACCTGAGTCTATTTCACGAATATCATTTATGATACTTTGGGTTTATCAGAGATGGAGATATTTCAGGTGGCAACTTTGACTCTATAGTGGACCTGAAACCAGTTTTCAGTACGAAAGTATGAACAAACGACAATCACTATCAGACCTCTCTACACCGTCGACGGAAGTGTGATGCCTACAGTCCCCTAATTTCGGTCAACCCCCTGTTCTACTTGAACCCAAAATGGACGCAATTCGCGAACTACACTCATTCACAAACTAGTTTGGCTTTTACAAGGGACATTACGCTTCAAGCTGAAGCGGTCTCGCCTACCTGATGAGCCCCCTAAGGACACCACCAATGGCGGGCTGTCAAGGAGTTTTAGCCACCCCGTGTGTGGCGTGTTCTAGACATCCAAGATATCCAAGACGTCGTACCAACTGAAGCATGAGACAACCTCGTGCAGCACGTTAATGTGAAGAAAGAGCGTAAACGAGATTTCCGGCTAGATTCAATTGAGTCACCCGTTAAAATCAAATTGCAGCCCTCACATAATTTCTCCACTGAGAATAATACATGAGGGCTTTTCGAGGTTCTAGATACGGAACTATGAGTCGCAGATTTAACGATCCCGGAAACCAAAAGGAAGAACTATGTTCAAAGATCTGCAGTGTTGTTTACACAAACGTATGCAAACCTCAATTGTCTAAGTCCGTGGTGTCAACAGGTGCACAAGTCTGTCACTGACCGCACAGCGCAGTGTTAGGGTCCGCACACCAAACAATGGCGAGCAGAACGTGAGCTCCGTAGTGTGGGGTGTAGCCGTCTCCTCCGACGATAGTCCCGTGATTCTGATTGGCGGTGCGATCACACGGAAACCATGAGAGAACAAGTCAGGGCAGGGTCCACAAGCGGGGCACGAGCACATATGGGCAATTAGGTCAGCTGCGCACAAATACCAGTGTAGGACGGGACAGCCTTTGCGGTAAGGCGAATGACGGGTACAGATGAACAAAGCAAGTGGCTCTCCAAAGTACATGGGTAGTGTGAGCAAACGAGTGGAGGAATTATAATGAGGTCAAGTTACATTCTGCAGGAATTTCAACAGGTTCGTACTCCGTGGGTTGCTTTGGAGAAGAGTGCAGCAACTGGCTAAGCGAATGACCAGAAAACTGAGCGGCTTCTTTCAGATCCAACACAGATCACCTAACTATGATTAGCAAATATGAAAGGAGTTTTCTCGGTGTTATCCTCAGACATGATTACGTTAACATGAAGTCTGTGATATACATCAAGCTTTATACCTCACGCAGAACGATGGTAATTTTTGAAGATGGTGAGTCACATAGAATAACCAACGAAACTAGGGTATTCAAGTTACTGGACTGCTGGTTCCCATCAAAGAGGAAGGATAGGAATAAGTACACGAACAAAGCGGTGTGCACATACTTTGTTCCTAATAAAACGTGTCAAAAACAGCAGTTCTCGGTTTGTGCGTCCTTCGGATTTCTCAGTAATCTGCGACCTTCGGATAGCAAGTTCATATTTCCTGACCTTCCACCACATGACTAGTAGCAAACCATATGGTGGATTATGTTCAATTCTGAACGCCACACCATTCATTTCGTTTCATCCAATTGTCGAGCCCGAAGTGGCTTAGAATGTGTAACGAACTGCGTTTGTTAGGATTACCGCATCCTTTACTATTTTTTCAAAACCCTTTGACATTCCAGTGATGTTCAGTATATATATATATATATATATATATATATAATTTATTAATAAGCTGTGAACAAAATTGTTTTCGAGCTGGTTGAATGTTGCAAGATAATATTTACACCGATGTGGCGCACTTTTGAAGCGGTGATTATCTAAGTCGAAGATTTGCTCATTCAGGTCAGTGCTGACTGTTCTGGAAGAAAACACTAATTTTTCTAAACGAATACTCCTTCAGGAATCGTATAGTCATACCATAGTTCCAATGCTCTCTCGTGGTATTCATTAAACTATCCGGAAAGTTTACTTCTTCAGTGTACTGTCCTTGGAGCATGCCATTTGGTAAAATATCAAAGTATTTGTTTATCAAATTTGTGATCAGCAAGCACAGTTATAACTTTTGAATAAGAAGGCCACGAATGTTCTGCTCAAGCCGTTCCAACTTCCATCACTCGGTCAAATGTCGGACTCATCTCTGCTTGTACAGCAACTTTACAGACTCTGCTCCTAAATAGCTTGCTGCCTGTTTGCTAGTGGACTTTTGAAGTGCAGTCTTGAGATACTGCACCTAGTTGGATGAACAGTATATGTATAACGTTGTGTTCCATCCTTTCTATACGCTTTTTTTAGATCAACTGTGATTGCTTTTGCTGGAAATCCAGCTTACAGTAGTTTGACTTGATATGATTAGGCCATCTGACCACTCATCGGAAGTTAGCTGGTTTATCCCAATTATCCACCATATGAAGCCTAAAAATTGGTCGTTCTGGAGTAATTATGTTGTTAAACCTAATGGTTAGTTGGAATGAATCATATCAACGGCTACTCAGAACTGGACGGCGGACTTCGGTGTGATTGAGGCTGTCTACCGTTTTTGGTAAGCTAAAGGGGTGAGCTTCTCGGGAACTGATTTAACATTACTTTTAGGCCGATGTAGACTTTGTGTTTAAATTATACATATATATTATATATAATGCGGACTTCGGTGTGATTGAGGCTGTCTACCGTTTTTGGTAAGCTAAAGGGGTGAGCTTCTCGGGAACTGATTTAACATTACTTTTAGGCCGATGTAGCCTTTGTGTTTAAATTATACATATATATATATATATACTGTATAGTTGACCTGGTTCGTTCGGATCACCTAGGTTATATTTATTTGTCTATTGAGTATACCAGATCTGTATGCTAGAGAGCATTTCGGCACACTCTGCCTTATTTTTAACTGAGATATTGCATCGCGTGCATCTTCGTGACAACAGTTTTGGTTTATACTCATCGATAGGCGGTGTTCGAATCAGAATGTGTTGTGTAGACTTTAGCAATAGTTTCGAGCCCAGCAACGACTGCGCTAGGGAAACGCATCGTATCATACACTGGTAATTTGATATCCCGTAGCCAATATAACGCTGTACCTGTTCTTTCATTATGCCGTTTACAGTTGCGCAGTTTTGAGGATATTTCAACTAAAGCAAACAACTTACTTTGATTAGCACACGTTTAAAAATCATCAGCACACTTATCAAACTATCCTGTTGCTAGGAAGCATGTCCTAGGGTTATCACACTCCATTAACTAACCTTGAGTAGCCACTTCTAGCACAAGTCTTCGGTGAGAAACCTCACTTTTGCAGTCAGATTTGTTGAGTTAGTTCTTCTGACGATTGGAGTGAGCCCAGTCGACACATCTGCTTCAAGCTTAATCGGGGGGACAGACAGACAGATAATTTTATCAAAGCACATTCATCATAGGGGGTCACAGAAACCGAATATGATACTCTAAGGAATGGTGTCACTAGGCACCACATTGTGGCAGACATGGTGGGAGAGACATCAAAACAAAAATGGTGTCTTGTAGCGTTGAGCTTTGAATTCCATTTTTCGGAAATTCGTCCTGTTGACCGAATCGCCAGATGATGTATTCTATGCTCAATACAGTTCAGGTGTCTGAGCGCTAACAGGATTCCTCCACTGGATTCTTGAATGCGAAATTAACGCAAAGTTTTATGTTTTGTCTCAGAGTATGTGACTGGCTAGGCCATTCATGATACAATATGAACGTCTGCAGGATGGCAGGAACCGGAAAGTACTAGGAATAATCACGATAGTGTATCGTAATGGAAAAAGTATTTTGAAAACGGTGGTGATGACTGATACGTATCTGAGTACTAACTGATCACTTAATAGAAAGTCTTCGACTTTCGAAAAGTTTGGTGACAATCGGATTGTCGATAAAATAACGTGGGAGATATGTTTAGCTAAAGTTAATTCTAGAAAGGCAGGCGGAATAGTATTGACCAAACCTGTATAGTTTACACCTTTGTTGTCCGATCGATGAACAAGGTCACATTTAGCTGCCATTGAGGAAAATGTTAGTAGCTCATGTGGTGTAGATGGTTGTTGGTTTGTCCCCTAAGGTGGGTTGATATACCAAATCAACTGCAGCAACTGCAACCAGTTCTATGTTGGATAAACCGAGAAGAAATTATGCACATGAATAAAGGAACACTACATTGCCGTCAGGAGACATGATGACCATCTATTCTTGATTTCCACACATGAAGGCCGAGATAAAAATAATTCCACCTGAAAAATGCAAAAATCTTGGTATATGGAGACACGAGACATGGAAGAGAATTTCTGAAGCATGGTAGTCCACGACAGACTGGATCAACCGACGCACTGAACTAGACGTTTCATATGCACTACTACATTCTAAGGACCAAAATCCCTACTCAGATAGAGCCAAGAAAGAAGAAACTCATTGAAGTCAGATTCAGATAGCTCACAAACTGGAACAAACTGGAGGTCGTGGACAGAGGTCGTTTCAGCAGCAACCAGATTACGAGGGCGGAGGGGGGGGCAAGCCCAGAGGTCGTGTGGTCATCGATCCATCAGGACACTGATAACACGCCACCAATCGGACCGCCCGACAGAACAAGCAATCTTAATCAAACGTCAATATCGGTTGGCAGCACAAATGGTAACACCGACGCACCAGTACTCAACACACAACGACCGACCTATTGATACGCTTCACTACACTTGCTATAAACACGACTGGTGATGAAACCTGTGCCATCAAATTGCTCAGAGCAGCGAACGAACCAAAGACCATCACACATTATTCCTAGCAACTGCAGATAACCAAGCTTCTTACAATATGTACGGTTTTGTTGCCAGATCAGACAATGCTAAGGTATCTCCTTTTTGGGAAAGCAAAAGATGCGCTTCCTGTAACTTCTTGATAAAAGGCAAGTTTGTTAACTGAGCCTTCGCGGGATTTTGGGTGGACTTCTCTCATCTACAATGCCTGTGGAGCTTCGGAAGGATGTGAATATCTATTAACTACCAATAAATAATAACTAGTGCACGTGAGAATACAGGGTAACTAGCCTCACCTATTGATATTTTCGGCGACTCATATACTAAACACTCTAGGCAATAACAGACAAAACTCGAAAATTCCGCCATCACAATGTGTTACTTCCCATTCATCCATTACAGAACCCCAGGCGGATCCCCAAGAGATACTTTATCAAGCAAGCACCCTCCTACGAAAGCGTTATTTGGTACACGAAGTTACTATTCAACTCGAACCATATAGTGCTGAGATGGCCGACTGCCAGAGGTGTCAAGAACCGATTCGGTGATCGCTCGCTCAGATCACTATTTAGCGTCTTTCCCGAAGCGCAATATTTCCCTCTTCCAGTAGTCGAGAATACACTGCATCATTGGCATTGTCAACACTCATTTTGCTGTCCGTCAATATTACTGACGTGAGCGTCAGTCAATGGGCACATCGTCAATAGTAGTACCAAAACATGGCATTTTTGGATGTCATCTTCCGTTTTTTCTGACCCGAATGAAACTGCTTATTGTTATTTATCCAAAACTGAATCTGTCTGACTTCCAGGCACCTATATAGAATATAGTGGATAAATACATATAACTCTCACGCAAATGTGTTGCGCTTCTTGACTTAGCGCCGGGTGAACAATGTGAATCTCCCGAATGTCGCCAGCAAGCATGAAGTGAAATTTCAGAGAACTTGTCGAACAAACTCAGTCCGATAGAAAACGGGTCATAACACGGTGTGTCGGCATTCACATTTAACGGTGATTATCAAAGGGAAAGCATGATCTTGTGATTTCCCTAAGGGTGATTTCTTCGGCAAATTATCACTCACTGTCCTAATTCAGACTTTCTTCAAGAAGAAAATATATGCGCTCTCAATGTTTCAACAAAACACTAGAAAGAACTAATACAGAGTGGAAAAACACCGTGAATGATTTTTCAGCAAACACTTTTTTCATCGTCAGCCTTATTTCCAATGAATCCAAGTATATTTAGCTAACTGCAACGGCTAACTTTATCAACAATTCGTATCCAATCAGAGTGCTGGAAAACAAAAAACCAGGGTATAAAAACTGATTGTCAAATCACAGTAAGGCCGCTGAAGGTTTGGGTGAACTCTGCGTTGGTGTCGCGCAATGTCGGGTGCCTATATTTTCCTTAGTTTCAAACATAGTACAGGTTTAAAACACTTACTCCTTACAATCACTGGTTAGCACCTTGAAGTTATTTCCAAGTTGAGATGTAGTGTGAGAAATTAAAGCGAGACTACAGTAAAAAAGGGTAGTTCCGCAGGTAGCAGACCTCTGGGTTGATAAGAATGAGTAGATTTGTATTAGTGAAATTAATTCTTCAAGTTTCCACCAGTTTCATTCTTCCCAGTAGTTGAGGGGACGATCACTTGAAGATAAGTGAAAAAAACCATCTATTCCATAGCCTTACTGGCAGATGTTCAATTTAGAAATAAAGAAACCAAGCAAGCGTGGAGCTCTTGAACCAAATACACACCAAGGTATGCATATGCTCCTTTTCATTCATGTCGTACGTAGGCTTAAATCTACCAAAAGTACCACTGACCAAGCATAACAGTTCATCAGATGGACTTTGAATGTCTCTATCACATAGGATAATTTACTTCTGGAACTCTACTCCCAGTATGTAAAATAGCCCTAGTATTCTGCCTAATCGTGGAACAGGATTCCTGTAAGATTAGAGTCCCTAAATGCACCATGCGGATTTCATGTACAGACTTCTGGAAACTATGGTGTAACTATGTTGCACTTAAGGTCCCGATTTGTGCTTTGCAACGACTACTGGTGTACGAGAAACACTCATTTGCAAATCATTTTGGTTTTCACGAGAGACAACAGAATCTCTCGTTTATGACGTTCTACAACTGAATGTGCTGCACGCAGGCCGCCTCATGATTCGAGATACCGCAGTATACTTTTATGAAGGGAACTACTCACAAGGTTGCTGAGGGCTGTCGAAGAGTTTTCAGCAACCTTATGAATAGTCTCTTCCATGAAACTACTGGTGTACTTATAGATTGGATTCGCAATACTTTTGCACAGATTTCTCAACGGTGGAAGTAATGAACCAGTTCTGAGTAGAAGTTCTGTTTGTTTTCATTTGATTTTATTGCTGCTCAGATGCCCTCAAATTTCATCTCTTATCTTGCTGTGTGAGACGTACAAATCCGTTGCAACGCCAGGCGAAAAAGCGCAACTGTCGTACATCTCTAGTATGATTGTAAATGAATATAATCAAAAAGCTCTGTAACTACAGAAGTTTCCGGCCACATGTTTGAATAGTTTAGCTCTATAAAGGATCGATTTTTTTAATCAAGGCAGGCAGTTTCCAATCTCATGTATAGATTGTGGAAGACAATTGACCCGACGCCACGTGAATGTGAAAAAACAACGAATTCGTCACATCTCGAATGAGGGCTTTACAAAATTCTGGTGGCGAAACAACTCACTTCTTGACATATGCTGATTATTGGCTGAATACTTCACTTTACCTACCCATAATAGGTAAATTGGAAAGTAGGACACACAGTCTCAAACAGTTCGAGATAGATGAATGGTTAAGGAGCGAACATAATGACAGGATGGTCTGAGGTCAGAACCCAACCCCAGCATCTTGACTGCTCCAATCTAGTCTTCGGCAACCTGGTTGCATCTCAGTCCCAGTGCTTCCTTCGATCAGCGAGGCAGCTAGGCACCAAAAGTGTGTTACGGCTGAACGATTAGGATTATTATTTGTAGTCGTATAATTATTTACTCTGGGGAGCCTTATGTTAAGGGCTTAATATGCACTGAGAGTTATCTTCCACTGGCTGATAGGTTTGATGGGTGAGTGAAAATTCAACCAATCTGGGAATGTTACGGTTCGTCTCGATACATGTACTCCAAAATCAACGTTGGTAAGTTTGCAAAAGCCCCCATGATCAATAGTCTTTGTGACACTTATATGCAAAGTCAGGCCACGTGTACTACCCATCAGCTTTTGGATAGACGTTCGATTCAAACATCACGAATTTCTCCATGCCCGCTTCGTACATCTGGCTTTCCAATACGTTATCCAAAGGCCTACCGGTCGGGTCACCATCACTATCAATGGGAATCACCAATTTCTATCTATCATGAGACCATGGTAGTGGAAGAGTGCCTCATAGGCAAACTGGGATGATATCAATGTGAGAAATGGCTAAATCTCTCGTTTATAATGTTTTCCAAGCAAAAATTTAGCCCGCAAATTTCCTCACTTTCAGCGGCACTGATACACAGAAACTAGTTTGGTTTTCTAGTACACGTTAAGCCTAGTTAAAATTGGGTTCCATGCCTAACTGATAGGCTTCAAACGGAGTGAAACGGATATTACGTTCTCCATCGTCTTACAAATAGTGTGAGCGAAACTGATTCATAACACATGCAGTGCAACGCGGATTCGCCTGAGGAACATCATAAACGTGAGACTCATCGAGCCTCATCGAAAGACGTCTCCAGCTGCCAATAGAGATTTACGCCCTGCAACGAAATGACAAGGCGACCTATTTTTAACCGTTCTTCCTAATATGGTGCTTCGAATCAATTAATCTCCGCTCACAAGGCTACACGTGCCTTCAGAAAACGAAATTAGAATCCGCCTAAAGCAGCTGTTGTAAAGATACCCGAAAGTAGAAACTGGGTGCGACAAAACTGTAGGTTCACACAATGGTACCATTTTGGCGAAAGCCTCTAATGATACGTCCATTCTTAGTTGACCGCGACCACCAAACCAGCAGTAGGACCATGGACATGATAGGATTACTGTGCTAGTATATCACACATTGCGTCAAACAGACTGAGATCAGGAATGACGATTGGTTAGCCTAGCACATTCATGCGGCATAAGAAAGCCTACATCTTGATGAGGTTAAAGGAATGAACTAACGGGTTTCTTTCTTCAAATACCTTATCTTGGTACCTACCAGTTGCAATAATAAATAGTCACATGTCTAGGGGTTTACGTCAGAGTCCCGATAGTCGTTCAGTATGGTCAGCCAGATTGTATTGTGAGATAAGGCACCTCAAATGAGCACGTTTTCTTATGTTATTCTTGTGTCATTCAGTCGCCTCCCCTAGGCACCGGGGTTTCCAACCTAGGCTAGTTAGCTCAAAGCTTGAGTCAGTTTGAGCCTCATCTATTGGTTCTTCATAGTTCCGAGCTATCAACTTGTGCAACAGTGTCTAATAACCACCCCGACATTCCTTACTATCTTCTCTATGGCCTCATTAGCTTACATTAAGCCTAGACGTTCCCAACAAGGCGACTGAATTGGCGGTGACAAAGGGATGATAGACATCTGATGCAGTCAGGTAGTGGAACACTCAACAGTTCCTCTAGTTGCTACGAATAGGTAGGAAGACAAAGCACTTGAAAGAAACAAAGCAGCAGTTCACACCTCTGACATCAAACACTGCTGCACCATGTGGTTCCAAACTGGACAGCTTGTAGTACCGTCCCCAACCTATTTGACACCCTGTGGGGGTACATTATCCCATCAAGTAGATGATAGTTCAAACGTCTGAGTTCAGAATTGAGTTAGTTTCTACTCCGAAACGGTATTGAGACGGTAGACAAAATGTCATCCAGAAAACCAGTGGAAGCATTACAAAGTGACCCATACAGGTTTTAATAACCGGAACCCACAACTACAGCCTCGCCTACTGTTATAGCACCCATATTCCGTTTTTACACCAGCTACTTCAGCGTAGCCATACAAATGCTGAATTTGCTTGTGTCAACTCCAAGCTCCCAGATGTGGATGGAAGAACAGTGAATAGTGGTCGGTAGTAGTCAGGGGGTAGTCTATAAAAAACAGGCAGTTCGGTAACTTTCACACTGAGGTTTTTGGTGTCACGAACAACACGGTAGAAAAACGAAATACTTACTGTTCTGTCCTCTAATTGCTCTCCTAAAACTGATTAAGTGTCCATTCGGGTAGAACTAGACCGTTCATCGATAGATTTCCAGCAAAGGAATCTGAGTAGAGACTTTTTAGGCAATGCAAATTTCAGAGTTCGATTGCGGAATTTTAGTAGGTAAGCTCAGTAGAGCTTGCAGCGTTCTGATGAATGACCTAACTACCTGGTTTTCAGAAGTGATCAGATTACCCGAAAATTCTCACCCCACTGTGGATTGGAGTTCCAGACCGTGGGATTCTATATTGCGGATTCGTAAATGCTTGGAAATGCTACGGGAGCTGTATTTCATAGTGCAGTATCGTCAGTTTTTGCGTTAATTGATGCTCACCAAACTACTCGTTCGAGTGTTTGGACCCCAACACAGATTGAGGCGATTGGGAGAATACCACAGGATTGGCTTTACTCGGTCTGGGTATTATCAAAGCTTCCATTTAAGAGCTAATCGAATTTAGATAATACCGAAAGCGTCAATTGACGAATGCAGTCGTGCAATTCACCGGACGGTGAACTCAAAAGTTTGACCTGAGAAAGCGTATAATACGTCCCTTCTGAATGATACCATGAATGACTGACATATGAAACATGTGGAAAAGCAACCTAATAGTTTTAACTGTAAAGGGAATATTTGGTGCAGGCAATCAGTAAAATAGTAGCCCACAAGCCGCGCCTCCGTTGCACGCTCAGTTCTTGTTCATGTGTTGACGACGAATTTAACTGCACCGCCACCGCACTGTGACCGTGTAGTACGGCAATCGCTTCACATGGAATCTTCGGATAGTAGCACAGAAGCCAAGCAGGTTCACGGGCAGCTACTAGGTCTTCTGTGGAATTGCACATCTGTTTGATTACGGCACCAAAGCATAGCGAGGGTTACCTGTCAATGGGATAAAATGGACTTCCGGCAAATCCAAGGCTCTATGGAGTGGTGGATGGAACTCATTACCACGAAAGCCCACTGTTTTATAGGTCACGATTGGATGCGCGAAGGCAAGGGATGCACTCGACCGAACTCCGAGTGGCACTGGGAGCAGCGAACCGTGAAAAAAAAACGAGAACCGTCACACAGTCACCACGCGGCCATCTTCTGGTTCACATGGTCAGTTATCACAATACCACCGATAATTCTGTCGTATGATAGATTCCCTTCCACCCATCCAACTTCGAATATATGGGAACACACGACAGAGAATGACCTGTTTTACAATTGCTATGTATTTGGAACGAATCAAAGATCCAAATTAAAAAAAAAAAATAAAGAACCAAAGTTTCGTGAAGACTAAGTAGTAGAAAGCCTGAAAGAGCGAAGAAACAGCTCATCTGCGTAAATCCACGAGAACGGCTGTTCACTAATGCAAGAGATTAGGTAACCACAGTATCCGGAGAACCAAAACCGCCACCACCAGGAGTGTGCAAGATAAAAACATCCTGAAATTAACAAAGGGGTAAACTGGGTGTTACTCGACAGATATGAGCGGAAGTGACAACCTAGCCACACAAAACGGTAAAATAGCCGTTCCCATGGATATGACGTCGACTGTTGAGTAACCTTAGTGGTCTAACATGTGCCGTCTGTTGATATCTTTTCGTATATCACACGTAGTCAGGAAAGAAAACAGTAGAAAAGTAGCTTCATGTGTCAAAAGCACTTCAATTTTCATAATAAAAAATCCACGCTTTCTTGTTTCGATAACGTTACTAAGTTGTTTTCTTGTAAATGCAGAGTGGCAGTCGGATAGGATTCTCGAAGAGGTATGAATACCTCTCACAAGCTGCACACATTGCAGTGAGCAATCAAAAATGACTCTCACCATATTTGGTCAAGTAATCCCGTTTTTACAGATAACGATAGCCCTGGAGATACACCAAAGAGCCCAATAGGGATGCCTTTTTTGTCGGATCACGCCAACTTCGTCTTTTCTAGTTGAATGACCCCGCGGATATTAGAAGTTGTTTTCAAAGGCAAGCGAATCACAGTTAAAGTGCAAACAACTTAATCTGATGCGTGTGTCACTTCAAATACTTATGAGTGGCCTGGAAATCAAATAAACAGAAGCAGTTTCTAGATTCATTGGTGCTTGCATGAAGAGCGAACAGTGAATCGCCCAGGTGCCATTGGGCGTTGAGCAGTCTAACCGTTGCTCAGTGTACCGTTTGCTCAAGAAGTGTGTGTGCCCTAAAACTTCATGTGTTTGTTTCGAACTCTCTCGAAGTCACACTAAGCCGTCCTTAGACTTTTTGTGGATGCCTCTGGAATATTTTAAAATGTACTGAGGTCAGTTGCTAAGTATCACGACAGCAATTTTATCGCTCCTCAAGGCGAAATCCAGGTATTTTATGGGATGAAGGTATCGCGCGCAATGTAGGTAGCAGGACAAGTAGCCACGGTGCTGACATTGATTCAAGGATTTCATTCCATGTGGCGAAGCGAACTTACGTTCAGAAAAGCCACAAAGCAATGCACAGCTTGGGCCTGTCGGTAATCACCAGTAGCGTGTGTTTTGCATATCCATATAGAAATTTGAGACAGCAGTCTTCAATGGTCCATCACTCACAGCTACGTATATCTTGTGAACAGACACTCACAGTTCAAAATTTCTCAAGGGTTAGATAATGTAACTTGCGGTGCGTTCTGAGTACTAGTTATGCCATTCAACTAAAGAACAGTTGGAGCGGACGTGACAGCATGCACCATTCAACTGTGCAAACCGCGTCAAGTTGGTTGGCGGACTACTTTACACAGGAGAGGCCATGCGATGTAATGGATGTTTCATTTCTGTATGTGTCTACCCAGCTAATCACCCCTCAGTAATGGTGAATATCTCATGATAAGTCGGAGTCGAATTGCGAACTGATTTTCATTAGTTTGACTCGAAAAGTCGAATGTTCTAAGCAAACAATCGTTGGAAAAACCAGCCAGTGAGCTAACAAGCATGGTTCGAATATCTGGAAAGAATCATGCTAGTTGGACTTACACCAGGATTGACAGACACCGTGGCTTTGCCACCAATGTTTACGGGATGCGAGTGGCCCACGCGATGAAGCAAATTCAGTCCACGCGCTCCAGGTTGTCCACCTAAGGTAAAGAAAACGATGAGTATTCCCAATTATTCAACTCAGACAGGTAGCCAGCAAGGCGTATGGTTCACATGTGAATACATTTGAATGAGACTGAATCAAGCAAATGATTGTACGCATATCGAAATCGGATGTAAAGGAGCGTTGTGAATACGATTGTAGATGCTCAATGGATAGGTAGGCATTCATGAGTGCGTAAAAAAGGATAACCAAACAAATGAAGTAGGTGCATTGATTTTGCTCACGGTTTCATGTCCGTTAGTTTTGAGCACAGCAGTTCCCAATGGAAATAATGAAGTTTACTGTGGGTGTGCGACAAGACTAGCGTTTTGCTATGCACGTCAATATAAAACTTTCTTGCTTTCTGCTCAACGGTCAATAATACGTGCGGTTTGTGTCAAACCAGCCGGAGTTGATCAATCTTACAGCCATAGCAACCAATTCATGAACGTAGACCCAAACAACGTAGTAGACTAACAACAGTACTGGCAAGACTAACCACAGGGGACTGAATTTTAAAAGTATGTCGGATTCACTGATGAACTGAGTTGATCTCCCATTGTCTCATTCTTTAAAGAATGATATCCTGGTTCATGTTACTTTTCAAGAAACAGATAGTTGGTGCGCAAATTACAAGTTTACTCTAGCTGTATGTGGACTGGATTAAGAACTTACCAAACAGACCGTACGGTGCCAGAGAACGTCGTTCACTAAGAACGGATAAAGTGACAGCTGAGCGAAACTTCATACGTCGCGTCAAGCCGTTGCCACCGTTCCATCGACCCAAGCCACCACTATTTACTCGAATGCCAAATTGTTCCAGAATTACCGGATACCTGGTGACAAAAAATCGGTGCACAATAATGAACACGACGGGGAACAAAAAGGACGGCCAAGGTATCGGAAATCAGTGGCGGCCGACCACTCCGGTGCTGCGCAACACTATGATACTCCGGAAGGAAAGATACTGGGACCATCGAAAATTAGTTTACTGCGGGAACCGCCTTATTAAGGGGCAAATATTTCAAGCAATTGCAAATGAAGCAAAACTCAATGATCGGTGACTTCGTGGTACATTCTTGATATATAGTTTACACACGCTCTTATCGTGCTTCCAAACTCAACGGACACTTTAACTGACAAATGTTGACGGTTCTTCCGCAAATGGAATCCCGTGATCTCATTCTTTATAGGCTAAGATGGTCATTCTGAACCCACAGCGGTTGACGCCTTGAAGCAAAAAAGTAGAACATAAACAGTATTCACCATTCTCTATATTATATCAGCTTGATCAGAAGGGTGAACAGTATCATATACGCCGCCAGGTTGTCTCTCATGGACATCTGTTCACTCTGACATGCTTAGCCACCGACTTACTGTCTAAGAACCGAATAAGGATAGTGCATTCAGTCTTCGTCTGCCCGTTTCAGCAACAGTTGGGACACCTACATATGTACGGTTGATAATGCACGTGCAGACATTACACCGAACACGTTTGGCATCTAACTAGGATATGACTCTATGTGGGAGAGCAAAGTACCGTATGAAGAGAAATTGTGCAGTAACCAAGCTTAGAACGGTTGATCGAAGCGCACGATGGACGCGCTGTTTCGAAGCCTTTGACTCAGAGGTGCACACTAACTGGCATGGATGGAGGCTTTCAATGAAATATACCAATGAAGCAAACAACCAGATACAGGTCTAACGCCAACGACTTGCAACCAACATTTGTGCGCATTTTAGAAATGAACCGTCTATGTGCATTTTTCGCCGAATAGCAGAGTTCAACTAGTCGGCTGGCATCGTCATTTAGACTGGGACGGCTATTAGGGCACAGGAGCTGACCTAAGCACTACAGTTAAAAAGTTCACACTCAAAATTACCTCTGTTCGAGAATTTCAGGATCTGTGATTCGTGTGTTAGTCATGTGAGTATGAATGCCACTGCGACCATGCCATCCAGGACCCTGAAAGCGGGGAAAACTGTAATCAGGATCACCAAGTTCGAGGTTGGAGAACACGAAATTAAGGCGCTAATTAACCTTCAGTGGAAGCCAAACAGCAGTGCACATTGGACTCACAGCTCCGGCACCACCAGCGACCGTCTCATAATAGCCTAACTTGTCGGTTCCGAATGTGACATTGTTCATACAGCCTTGGCTGGCGGCGCAACAACGAAATGCGGCGAAAATCACATCAACGATTCTCTGTGAAGTGAGCACATTGCCACCCACAACCGCTGCGGTCGGCGAGGCAGACAAAATGGTGCCGTCCGGCACAGTTAACTAATGGGAAGAGAGGGAACGCAATATGAGAAAGGCAAGAGCCGACGATGGAATGGATATACTGAAACCATATGAACGCACACTAAATTGCGACAACGGATCTAAGCCTAATCCAATTAGCTAAGCAGGAACACATTATAATATGTGGTATGAAGAGCCTAGGCAACAAATTTTCAAATATCAGTCACAGTGAGGATGACGTCAACCCATCAAAAAGTTGACTTTCCAATTTTCGGTGTACCCAACAGGATGCTTGTCCAATCAAAGCTGTCCGAATACCCCTTACCCATTCATCCAGATGCACCGAGTACTGAGTGAGGCATGAGGCTATAGCAGAAGCTTTGTCACGTTGGAAGAAACACAAAGGATCTGCACAAGCAAACAAAATGCATCCGTGTCATGACCGCCCTTACGTTTTTAGAGCTGTTGTTTGTACAGGCTAAACATCATTCGAAAACTGAAATAAGCGCGCAATTTGAAGGAAACGCCTGTTGTTCGCAGACAGAGTAAATCGTGGTAAAATATAAGGTACTGCCGGTTCCCATGGCAAGATGACATGGCAATTAAAATAATAATACGCTGCGGTCCTTCCACGATTACTTTATTACAACCATAACCTATGGGAGAGTAAGTCAACTTCGAAAATATCGCAGATCACTGCAGTCCAGGAACGGCTCCCAGAACGAGGACAGGTATATATATATATATATATATATATATATATATATATATGGTGTGACATGGTACTGTGCCAGGAAACCTCACGAACATGCGTAATAATAATCATGCTAATCGCATCCGCATAAAGGGTGATACTGGACCTGATTTTTAGTGAACACAATGCTGAAAAGATTATCTCACTAGATTTATTTCGCATGATATCGATGTTATGAAGATTAATAGCGGAGACCGAGGGATGCGGGAAACTTGTGTCAGACAAAGGGTTCCTCCAAGATAATCATGCCAACTAGATGGTGATCCCACGTTGAACACTGCCGAGAAACCGCACTGCATTCAACTAGTGCGGAGTTCCTCCAGAGACGAAAGTCCGCTCATCGGTCTTTCAGTGAAAAGTTAGACACACCACTAGGAACTCACTTTAATTGGCTTGAGGCAACCGTGATTTAAGCAGATTTCACCACCCACGAGACATCGTAATGCATAGAACAAGCAGGACAACAAGACAGCACGAGGAGCGTTCGTGTTACCAAAGACCTCCGGACCGGTACCAGTAAAATCAAAGTGTGCCGAACCAGACACTGGATTAACGGACACCTTGAGAGAGATCGGGGTACCATCATCCATGTGATCAACGGCTGACAACATGATTGGAGAACTTGTCAATTGTGAGTCGATGGTGTCCGTTGGATTACTACCAGTCTGGTCGTAATTCGTGGCCTGCAAACAAGCACCACGCAGCATGTGACGAACAGCGTATTCAGCATTATCCTAAAAAATTGAAGAAATCCACGGTTGAACCGCATAAAAATTGAGAGCAGGTGCATGGGCAACATTGAATAAAACAGGTGAATCTACCGGAGGTAAGCGGGGTTTTGTAACTCCACAATACTCTACAACATCTGCAGAATGAGATAAATGAGTAGGCGAATAAATCAGCAGAAGCCCACCTGTATATGTTTCATATAAGCTTGCACAACTTCCAATCCATATTCTTCGACCAGATCCATCAAAAGCAAGACTCCCTGGAAGTAGAAGAGAACGGTTGATAAACCGGTGGGTTCGATGAGTTAAATTCGAACTGGTCAGTGCATGAGATTATAATTAGATTCCTGGTACCCAATTCAGCGGCCAGGTTCAGCACAAAAATGTGACTTTACGACGTACATTATCGTGATTTCTACCAACCACAGAAATTTTATTAGCCACTGTAAACCTATGGAGTACGGCGAACCTTATTGTAGAAAAACTGGTAAAAGCATTAAAAGAATGCGTACAAAGGTCAGATAACGCAATGTCCATTGAGTTTCGTCATGGTAGGCGTATATCCAACCTGCACTGCCAGCTGCTAGTGCACTCCGCTGGACCAATAAGCAAGTAGTCAACAGAGATTTAATCCTGTCAGTTGATGTTGAGAAGCCGACAAGCACTGTACACCGTCATCCTTAGGAATACCTTGCACTGCACATCACACTAAACCTAGAAAGTTTCGATTCACAACTTTCCAGTTATTGGTTGAACACTATATAAGGTGATGCGATATCTCGAATACCGTAACAACTGAAACTTGAGCGGCCTGGTGGAGCACATTCAGTTGCTTAAGAACAGCATAAACGGGGGATTCAGCTGGGTTCCAGGTGAGTCCAGGTGAAACCAAACAGATGAGTGTATAAGTCAAACTTCATGTAGTTTGGGTTTAAGGGACTGCACCAACCTGATGAGCTTCAAGAAGGGGAAAACCGGTTGTGGGCTGTCGGTAGGTTTTCAGCAACCTTATGAGTAGTGTGTTACGTCCAGACATGCATATGGTTTACGGATCGACAGAGTTTGCATTGGTATTTTAACCATCCAAAGTTGTATCAGATGGGATGATTGGGTTTGTTGTGCAGTGTTATCAGATCTCTATGGTGCTCTTAGTTAATTTTTCTCTGTACGATATGACCCTTCCTTCAGCGGTAATCCCAACAAGTGAAGGACGCAGGGCAGTGCTTACTGGGCAATTGGGTTGTAAGTATTTCAGCACCAGCGGAGACGACGACGTTAAGCACTGGTATGAAACGTATCGCATCACCTTGCTTCCCAACGCCCCTCTATTTGGGATGAAACATCTGCACCCTAATTGCTGGCCCAGAGAGCAAACACAGATGACTAACCATACAACACGAGCCACTAAGATTCTCTTTCTTATTAGGTTACGATGTCACGCTAATGAATTTAGCCGAAACTACGAATGGTAGCGTAGAAGAATGGGATAGTGCAGACACCAGTTAAATGTCATCGATCGCCCTCGCAGAAGCTATCTGAAACTGAACTCTGTTCAGCAGCGACTGAAGCTACAATCAGACCAAGTGGTCCACTTTAAGTATCCATGAGAGTCTACCGGGAGTAGCACGTGGAATACAACCTCTACCCCAGGAGCCATTGTAGAGGTTTGTGCTAATTAAAAGTTCCAGTTAAATAATCACGGACAGTCAGGCTATGACCTACAGAAAGTGCGGAATAAATTCTTGCGTGTGTGTATAATGAGAAAATGTACCTTTTGATTGGCTGCCACCTGAGCTTTTAAATCACTCAAGTTGTCCGATAAGTTGCGTGTTCCAGATGATCCAGGATAAGCGGCTGGAGCCAGCAAAGCCGCCGTCACAGCTAGGGAAGATGAGACAAGGAATACGGGCATTGTGGTACGAATGGAAAAGTCATTGCAACGAATAGGAAAGGGTGCAGCACTCCGATCAGTACGGTTGTGCAAAAGCAGAACAACAGTGAGCACACTTTCCGACGTTACATGTGAAGCAATGGACAAGAGTAATGTTTACGTGTAGGAGTGACCGGTGAGTAGACAGAACGGTCAGGAGATATGCTTCATATGACAGAAATAAACTAATGTATGTTGCTAATTACCTTAGAGTGGTCACTTTTGGCTGGCAGCCCAGCTTTTCTGGTTAAAACATGCCCACATTGTTTCCCTCCGAAATTACGTTGAGGAGCAAAATCTCAAGTATCCGAACTATCGGGAGAGAAGGCTCCCGATCGGTACCGGTAGGGATTGTTCCAAAACATTTTGCTGTACTATATGCAAATCTACCCATAATATAATAATCGTTCAGCCGTATCACCCTCTCGGTGCTATGTCACCCGATGGCTGGGATACTGCCAAGTTGCCCAGGCCTAGACAGGAAAGTTGAGAGGCAGAGGTTGGATTCGAACCACGGACCTTCCGATCAGTAAATTCGCGCTCTAACTACTAGGCTTTCTCGCTCCAAACCTACCTGATTTCTGTGGTAACGGATATTATTTGCTACTGATTTTTTGCCTAAAAACTGATGCCTGGGACCAAATGTTGTCACAAAGCTACCGGATCTATGTAAAGAAATCAGACGAAATAATATGACCAATAGGAATAGGACAAGAGAGAAACGCGACAGTCCACACGAGTGCAAAAGTACCTTCTTCTTGAAAGCAACCGTCCTTGACCAGATAGAATGTTGTGAAAACCGCGCCCTCCTCGTGGATGGATGTGGAATGTGGAGGCATAGATCCAGGTGTCGAACCGCCTGTAATGAGTTCATGACGAGAGAACGCTAGCTTAAGGCACCGAATAAATTGAGAGCGGTTGAATTAGACACTCAATAGCAGAAAGGGTCTACAATGCACACGACCTTATTGCTTCTCCATGGGATGATCACCTTAGGAGATCAACTAAAAGTGGGAAATCAACTGAACACGTGTTTTGGAAACAGTTTTCTTGATACGGTTGGCATTATACTGTTTTACCTCGTAAGGTTTGCAGTACTTATTGAATATCACTTGGAAGATCTGAACCGCGCAAACTATTCCAGTTTTACATCCATCTGAAATCCTTCAACACCATCTCGATAGCTATCACGCCATCAACTTCGCCTGAATGACGCCATTCGCCTTTGATTCCAGGTGTTGTAAATACCTCGGTACAACAGAAAAGATAGTTTTATTCGCTGGCATATTGTATGTGAAGTTGCGTCTCAATCACGGAAATCTTGGCCACAAGAGGCATTCATTCATTACAGAGATTTATCAGGTGAGTGGTGGAGGGACCACTCATGGAAAAATGGATTGGCTTGATTCAGCTCCGCAGGATCTGACTACATCTCTAGTACATGCACTCAGACAAATTCAAAGCGTATTGCTTGGTAAGCATCAACTACTTTGTGAAGACCGACACAAAGCTGCCACCTTATCATTGTGGTCGGGATTGAGTGCTACTTCGTTATACAGGATGCAACTGTGCCAAAAGTTCATAGAAGGTAGTGAAACCAAAGACAGTCAGGGCACGCACTACGAGTAATAATATGCTGAGGCGATCTGTGCTGCGTACTGTGCTCTGCGATAAGAGTGCGAAGGTAATGAGATGATTTCCTCAGGCGACCATCACGCCCATGTTCATGGAAGCAGCGATTCTGCCTTCCTACGTGGAAGGACGGACTAGAAAAGATTGACCCTAGAAATCGCATGCGCCGATAGCCCAAAGGTTGACCGTGATCACCGGCGCATCATTCACAACGGTCAAATACTTTCAAAACCAAAGAGTCTGGTGCTTCTCAAAAAGCATCTACACTGCACTACTAGTGAGTGAGTGCCTTACTGTCTGCTCTCTCGGGTTAAGCCAGCCCCTTACCGCCGAACAGGTGAGACTATTCGGTCATCGACTCTGAGCAAGGTCCCCGAACAAAACCCCACATTCTCGCACTACCTTGTGCGGCAGACTTTTGAGCCAAAACCTCAAGGTAGGTTTTCCAACCAAACCACCTACCTCGGTTTGGGCAACCGAGAAGTATCATCTGCTCCTTTGTTCACTGATGCCTTTCCCCAACTCTTTTAAACTACGCAAGCAAACGTTGCTAGGTCATTGGATCGTCATTTATCTGATCGACGTACCTAATGATCACTTAAAATTGATGCTGTCTTTGAAACGGGATACCTCGGTGGTTAAAGTGCGAACTGACGGACCGGAAGGTCTGTGGTTCGAATCTGACCTCAGTATCTCGACAGCTCCTGTCTAGGCTTGAGCAAACTGACAGTATCCCAGCCCTCGTTCCTCCTTCCGTTGTCATGGCAGCTAGGCACCGAATGGGTACCACAACTGAAAGATTTGTTTATTTTTTATTTTCTGAAACACACACACAGAACACTCGAGTGTGGGTATGAATCTTAAAAGGCGAAGGATGAACTCAGCTCTTTCATACTGGACCTTCGGTGTCTTGTGATCAAGATGCGATAACTCGTGGAATATATGGCGTTGAAGTTGCACACAGCTCTAGAGCTTAACGCGCTTTGCTGGATTAGACTCCATTGAACAGTCGTCTTTGCACCTTTCGGTTATACAGTGCACTCAGACTTAATGCTACTCGACATAAAATACTATACTTGTTTGTATTGTTGGCATATGTCTCAAACGGACTGCACTCTAGGGTTGCAAAGAAGGCTTTCTATCAAGAGTTATCCACATGCTCATTTGTCAAGCAGAAAGCACTGACCTCGAGATCTTTGAGGGCGACATGAATGCCCGAGTCGTTCGTCTAAACTCGCTGGAATCACATCTGTGCGGCCGATTCGGAAGCGATGCATGTCGTGCAGACAACGGAAAGCAACTCCTCTATTTGTGTGATGGTCATTAACTGCTTCTGGCCAGTAAGAATTCTTAGTATAAACGTTAGCATAGCGTAACTTGTGCAAATCAACCGCCGACCCAACTGGATCACTTGGATTACCCGTGGAGAGACAAAGTTCAAAACTGTCGTCCCTTCTTAGGCAAACGTTATTCCGATCANCCGGCGCATCATTCACAACGGTCAAATACTTTCAAAACCAAAGAGTCTGGTGCTTCTCAAAAAGCATCTACACTGCACTACTAGTGAGTGAGTGCCTTACTGTCTGCTCTCTCGGGTTAAGCCAGCCCCTTACCGCCGAACAGGTGAGACTATTCGGTCATCGACTCTGAGCAAGGTCCCCGAACAAAACCCCACATTCTCGCACTACCTTGTGCGGCAGACTTTTGAGCCAAAACCTCAAGGTAGGTTTTCCAACCAAACCACCTACCTCGGTTTGGGCAACCGAGAAGTATCATCTGCTCCTTTGTTCACTGATGCCTTTCCCCAACTCTTTTAAACTACGCAAGCAAACGTTGCTAGGTCATTGGATCGTCATTTATCTGATCGACGTACCTAATGATCACTTAAAATTGATGCTGTCTTTGAAACGGGATACCTCGGTGGTTAAAGTGCGAACTGACGGACCGGAAGGTCTGTGGTTCGAATCTGACCTCAGTATCTCGACAGCTCCTGTCTAGGCTTGAGCAAACTGACAGTATCCCAGCCCTCGTTCCTCCTTCCGTTGTCATGGCAGCTAGGCACCGAATGGGTACCACAACTGAAAGATTTGTTTATTTTTTATTTTCTGAAACACACACACAGAACACTCGAGTGTGGGTATGAATCTTAAAAGGCGAAGGATGAACTCAGCTCTTTCATACTGGACCTTCGGTGTCTTGTGATCAAGATGCGATAACTCGTGGAATATATGGCGTTGAAGTTGCACACAGCTCTAGAGCTTAACGCGCTTTGCTGGATTAGACTCCATTGAACAGTCGTCTTTGCACCTTTCGGTTATACAGTGCACTCAGACTTAATGCTACTCGACATAAAATACTATACTTGTTTGTATTGTTGGCATATGTCTCAAACGGACTGCACTCTAGGGTTGCAAAGAAGGCTTTCTATCAAGAGTTATCCACATGCTCATTTGTCAAGCAGAAAGCACTGACCTCGAGATCTTTGAGGGCGACATGAATGCCCGAGTCGTTCGTCTAAACTCGCTGGAATCACATCTGTGCGGCCGATTCGGAAGCGATGCATGTCGTGCAGACAACGGAAAGCAACTCCTCTATTTGTGTGATGGTCATTAACTGCTTCTGGCCAGTAAGAATTCTTAGTATAAACGTTAGCATAGCGTAACTTGTGCAAATCAACCGCCGACCCAACTGGATCACTTGGATTACCCGTGGAGAGACAAAGTTCAAAACTGTCGTCCCTTCTTAGGCAAACGTTATTCCGATCATACCATAGTGCAAGCACGTCTGGAAGTTCACTTCCCTTTAGGTCCTCCAAAGTCAGCAAGAAACATACTAATCCGCCATCTTCTGAGCACTACCATAGCTCAGCAGTGTCGATCTGAGCTAGCTCAACTACTCTCTACAGTAAACCAACACTGTACTAGTAGCGAGAACGTGGATGAAGAACTGCAAAATGTGAAAGGAGCTATGCTAGTGGCGTTCAGTGCTGTCTATCCGACTTCTTCAGTATGATCAAATGATCAAAGGATATCGTCGATATCGCTAGTACCGACTGATATAAGCAATCCATACTAGTAGGCAACGAGTGAGACGGATCAGGCAAATCCCACAAACGCCAAATAGCAGAAAACCTAAGGAAAGACCGAGAGCGTTGGTGGACATCGATGAAAAAGTCTTTTACTATGGGAAACAGCCGTGCTCAGGAGAGAGTAGATGTGTGAAAAGAAAACAAGCTGGGCTCCGTCCTGCAAGACGACGCATCGATCGTAATTTGGTCCTCCGAGACTTTGGAACAGCGACACTGTTCTGATCAACCAGAAATGATGGTCATTCTTGACCTGAACGCTGCCTTGGACTCTGTAGAATGTCAGGCACCATGGCGCTAGCCACGGAGCAAGGGTATCCCCCATAAATTTCCGAACCTCCTTAAGGCGATATACGCCAACCCCCGCGGAAATTCCAAGCATACTTCCTCGATAGCTACAAAATTTACAGCTAGAGGTTCGTCTCAGTTCAATGTTCTGCACATGAGAAAGTCTAATTTGACAGAACCATTTCGTTTCGTGTATTTTGAAAACATCGAAACACTTGCACATGAAACTAACTAACTATGGATATCTCTTCTGCGTTTTTTCGCAAAAATATCACATTGGTATTGTCCTAATTTAGCATACTTTGTTAAAGTTAGCAGTGACAAGAGCGCTCCCGTGCTCACAGGATTCCGTCATCCAACAGTTGTGGCACTTACTTGACCTAAGGTGACGACAAACGAGAGTTTGTTTGAATAGCACTGATGCTTTCGAATATTCCGCATCAACCTAAATGAGTAAACCGCAATGTTAGCTTCGACAGGGTGCCCAATTATCCAAGAAGACATCAGAGTAGGCGGTATAGTCCACGGAGCCTGGGCGAATCTTGTCTATGTTTCGCCACCTTAAAGCACGCATAGTTGCATATAGGTAAGATAATTCAAACGTACAATGACCAACTGCAAAGACTGTCCTGCTCAATCATCAACTCCCAAAACCGTGGTGATACAGACCAGAGGAGTTGAGGAGTTTCTGAACTCTCCTGATGGGCATGAGTAAAACCTGCTTTAAAAACTAGTTCTTTGTCCGAAATCAGTAATGAATCCTCCAGAGTCCTAAAATTCAACTGGATCTTCAGAGGACCAGTCAAATTTCATCCGTTCAGAGGGACGTTCTTTCTAGAAAGGGACAGTTACATATGTGCTAAAGAATAAAATGGTTTGTGTCTGCCTAACTACATTGACATTCTG